CCGCGGCCTCAGGGCTCGGGGCTGGGGAGGCCTCAGGTCTCCATCGTGGCGAGCCCGCGGCCCCCGCCCCGCAACGACCGCGGCCCTCGGCGAGCGCGGCGCGCCCGCCCGGCTCCTCCTCTCGGCCCCGCTCGACCCGGGCTCGGCTCGGGTTCGGCCTCGCTCGGCTCGGGCTCGACTAGGACTCGGCCCCGCTCGGTTCGGGCTCGGGCCCGCTCGGCCCGGCGCCGCCCCGCTCGCTTCAGGATCGGCCGCGCTCGGTCCCTCTCGGCCCGGTCCGGCCCGGCTCGGCCCCGATGGCGGCTCCCGCGGCCGCCCCTGCCCTCAGCGCTGCGCCGAGGGGTTTCCCGGCCGACACCGCACGGGCCGCGCGAGCATGCGCAGAGGAGGTGCGTCCGCCACGCCGCACGTGACCCGGCGCCGCGCGTGACACGAGGTCACGTGGGCGCGGGCGGCCCCGCCCCCTGGTCCCGAGCGCTCCCTAGCGGAGCGGGTGGCGTGCGCCCCTCATGAAGGCGCGGGAAAGGAGAGGACGGGACTGAGGGGAATATTGGCTTTATAGCCCAAAAGAGTCACTGCCAGCCCTGGGCTTCCTAAAGGAGAGGATGGAACTGAGGGGAATATTGACTTTATAGCCCAAAAGAGTCCCCGCCAGCTCTGGGTGTCCTAAAGGAGAGGATGGAACTGAGGGGAATATTGCCTTTATAGCCCAAAAGAGTCCCCGCCAGCTCTGGGTGTCCTAAAGGAGAGGATGGAACTGAGGGGAATATTGCCTTTATAGCCCAAAAGAGTCCCCGCCAGCTCTGGGTGTCCTAAAGGAGAGGATGGAACTGAGGGGAATATTGACTTTATAGCCCAAAAGAGTCACCGCCGGCTCTGGGCTTCCTAAAGGAGAGGATGGGACTGAGTGGAATATTGACTTTATAGCCCAAAAGAGTCACTGCCGGCTCTGGGTTTCCTAAAGGAGAGGACGGGACTGAGGGGAATATTGACTTTATGGCCCAAAGAGGCACCACCAGCCCTGAGTTTCCTGTCGCCATCGTGCCGTGCTTCAATCCCGCCTCTTGCAATGCAGGCACCGGTGTGGCGTTCAACCCGCCTGTTGAAACTTACTAACAACAGCCTTCCACTTCACAAATATTTACTTTCTAGTTCACAAATCCTTACACAGGAAGCCTTTTGCCTACCAGTGGCTGTCTCGAGGAAATCAACCCGAAGACAAGTTAGTTTTTCAAATATAAATAGTGAAGCCTTGGAATAATCTCTTCTCGTGTAAGGTTTTAGTCTAAGCTAGTGATCCCTGATCGCTGAGGGGGATCGGGGGACTGAGGGGAATATTGGCTTTATAGCCCAAAAGAGTCACTGCCAGCCCTGGGTTTCCTAAAGGAGAGGATGGGACTGAGGGGAATATTGACTTTATGGCCCAAGGAGGCACCACCAGCCCTGAGTTTCCTAAAGGAGAGGACGGGACTGAGGGGAATATTGACTTTATAGCCCAAAGAGGCACTGCCAGCCCTGAGTTTCCTATCGCCATCGTTCTGTGCTTCAATCCCGCCTCTTGCAACGCAGGCACCGGTGTGGCGTTCAACCCGCCTGTTGAAACTTACTAACAACAGCCTTCCACTTCACAAATATTTACTTTCTAGTTCACAAATCCTAAGCCTTTTGCCCGCCAGCTGCCGCGTGGCTGTCTAGAGGAAATCAACCCGAAGACAAGTTAGTTTTTCAAATATAAATAGTGAAGCCTTGGAATAATCTCTTCTCGTGTAAGGTTTTAGTCTAAGCTAGTGATCCCTGATCGCTGAGGGGGATCGGGCTCCTGTGTCAGCAGAGCCCGCCTGGCTGATCCCTGGGACACTTCAGCCCAAAGAGCCTGACCTGGGCTGATCCCAGCCTGGGCTGGGGACACAGCTGTGGCTGGGGACACGGCTGGACAGGGGCTGGGGACACGGCCGGACAAGGGCCTGGGGACATGGACGGACAGGGGTGGGGACAGGGCCGGACAGGGGCTGGGGACAAGGACAGACAAGGGCTGGGGACATGGACGGACAAGGGCTGGGGACACGGCCGGACAGGCTGGACGGGGTTTGGAGCATTCTGGGATGGAGGAAGTTGTCCCTGCCCGTGGCAGGGGATGGATGTCCTTTAAGGTCCCTTCCCACCCAAACCATTCCATGACTCCAGGATGTGTCACCAGCTCCCGATTCAGGGAATGCTGCCATGCCCTGGACAAACCTGTCAGAGCCAAGGAAAGGCCTGATGTGCCTGTTCCAGGCTGTTTCCTGCACGGGACAGAAATGCTCATGTCACATCAAGTGTTCTCAGCCACCCACATTCACAGCTTTAAAAAATAAAACGTGAACTTCCCGATGAGGCAAGAAAATACCCCGTGGCTTTTGGAGGGCTGGGTTACTCTGAAAGCCAGCAAACACTAGAGCAGAGTTGAAGCTTGGTGGTCTCTGCACACCTGTGGGCACCAGGGCTGTTCTTGTAGCTTTAAATTAGTTCTGAAACTTTGAACTCTTTCACTTCAAATACATTCAGCAGTAAACTGTTCCCTAAGTTCTGCAAAACAACATAAAATGTGTTGGCACTTTTTAGGTCATGCTCACATCTTAGTTTAAAAAAAGAGCAATAAACTATTAGCAGAAACTATTTGCTGTAACGTGGAGTTTCAGTGTTTACCATGATGGATTATTGGGAGCTGTGTGGGAACTTCATCTCATTTAGTACTTTGCTGATTTATAAGCAATTTTATCTGAGCACAGTTCTGCTGCTCAGAGCACCTTTGGCAGAGCTTTGGTCTTTGCTACTTTAATTGTCAAATACACAAATGCCTGAATTGTAGACTCATAGAATAATAGGATGGTTTGGTTGGGAAAGGACCTTAAAACTCATCCTGTCCCACCCCTGCCATGTTTAGGGACACCTCCCACTGCCCCAGGCTGCTCCAGCCCCAGTGTCCAACCTGGCCTTGGGCACTGCCAGGGATCCAGGGGCAGCCCCAGCTGCTCTGGGCACCCTGTGCCAGGGCCTCACACTCTCCCTGGCAACAATTCCTTCCCAAAATCCCATCTAACCCTGTCCTCTGGCAGTCTAAGGCTGTGACATTTATTCTCAAGCCTTGGATTGAGGCTGACACAGAATTGTCCCTGTTGTACAACTGAGCAGTACAAAGAGAAACAAACAAACTTCAAAGCCGAGCAGGACAAATCAGGTCTGGCACCTTCCCTGCCACACGGACAGGTCTCCTGGATGAGCAGGCCGACAAGGTGGCAGGGTGTGGAATTGTGTTTCCTTCTCCACTTTGTTCTGTCAGCAGCAATGTCTCCGCTTGTTTTCATTCTGTGACTTCAGCTGCGACTCTGCGAGAGGAGAGGAACTGACCTTGCTCTGAGCACTCGGGGCTGGGGTGCCCCCAGATCCCAGCCCAGCTCGGGACCTGCCGAGGCTGAGCCCACGGGGCCAGCTCTGCTGGGACATCCACGCTGCTCCCTCAGCCCGGTGTCACCACTCCAGCCCAGCTGCTGCGGGCAGGCACTGCCTGAAGCCAAGCTTTAGTTAGGAGTGACTCTTCCCAGAGCTCCTACCAGCCTGCCATCCATGAGTGTTTGCCAGCCCCCTGAGGCTCAGGGGACTCAGAACTGAGGGAAACTGAAAGAGTTGTGCTGGAACACAAACAAATCCAGAAACCTGCTTTTAGGTCATAGGTGAGGAACAAACAAGGAAGCAAGCAAGCAAACCCAGTCTGTAATTACCCAGGTGCAGGGAGCTGCTCCTCCTTGGCTTTGCTTACGCCCAGCACACCACTGACCCTGCTCACCCCTGTGGGCTGCTGGAAGGTGCTGACCCTGTTCTCAGAGGGTCCCAACCCTGGACAGCCCCGTGCAGCCTGACTTTAATACTCTCTGGACTAAGGAGAAGATTTACGCTATCAATGAGTCAGAAAGAAGATGAGAGCTCGTTCCTCATCACAGAATGAATCAGAAATATATAACACAGCAGGACAAACTCCTCAGTGAATGAACAGCATAAGAGTTACTATGAGAGTAAAAGGAACTTCTTCCCTGGTAATCAGAGCTAATTTACTGGGGAAGCCCTAAAAGCCATGCAGAGAGCTCCAGCAGTGTCCCACGGAGCCCGTGCCAGAGCAGGGCTGCTCCCACCTGAGGATCCTGCCTCCAGCACCCCACAGTGAACCCATCCTCTCGGGGCCAGTGCCCTCCCTGGGTGGTGACCCCAAATTAGAGCAAGATCTCCTCTGCAGAGGGCTTTCCCTCGGTCCCAGGCTGAAGGATGCCCGGAGATGAGCTCTGGTCTGGCACTGCCCACGGAGCCCTGTGCCCTGGCAGGGAGGCTGGGAGCCGAGCCCACCGCATCCCCTGTCCTGCCGCTCCTCGTGCCCGCTGTGCTGTGGGCACAGAGGGGATTGCGCTGCTGCTGGGCACACCTCGCCTTCCTGCGGGCAGTGCAGAGGCTCTGGGAAGAGCCGGCTCGTTATCTCACCGACACGGCCGGGCACCACCTCCCAGCCCGATCCCCCTCGGCGTGACAGCGCCAGGGTGACCTTGCTTGATGAATTTCGAGTCACTAATTAAACTGCTTGGCGAAAGAAAAGAGAAAATTAACTGACCATTGCTCTCTCGGGAGAGAAGGAGCCCGACGCAATTTGCTTTGTATTTTAGCTTAGGTCTTTTTTTTTTTTTTTTTTTTCAAGGAAAGCGAACCCCCCCCAAGGAAAGCGAACCCGCCGCCCCCGTCCCCGCCTGCCACTAGAGGTCATTTGAGCACCGGGAGAGGGACCGGCGGCGGCTCCTGCCCTGGGCAGGGACACCTTCCACTGCCCCAGGCTGCTCCCAGCCCCGTCCAACCTGGCCTGGGACACTGCCAGGGATCCAGGGGCAGCCCCAGCTGCTCTGAGCACCCTGTGCCAGGCTTCCCCACCCTCC